AAAAGGGGGGGGGGGGGGGGGGGGGGGGGGGGGGAGGGGGGGGACGAAATCAGAGACATATTTGTTTGACGCATAGGGAATCTTCGATACAGACATGTGACTTCAGAGCTGCAACGATGTTGAAAATGTCAATACCAAGTCAGACCAACACAATATCAGTTTGCTGTCTTTCCGTTGTTGTTGTTGTGCCTCTCTCTCTCTCTCTCTCGTTTGTATGCTGCCAAAAGAAAACAAAGACGACAGGTGGACCAAACAAATCACACATTGCGGAGGGTGGTTTCTGAAGAGGCCGTCAGAGTTCAGTGTCACATCCGCCTTGTGCGTGGAAAAGAAATGCATGACACGGCTTTCCAACTTGAGTAATGAGAACCTCAGGATGGATGACTCCAATCAGGAAGTCACCCGATATCATACAGTTACGACAACTCTGGCGAGGGTCTCCAACCACTCTGGCCAGACCTTTCTGCTCGAGCTAGTCTCTACGCCAAATTCTCCTTTGGGTGCTTCTACACAGTCGAGGGGAAAAAAAAGAAGAAAAAAAAAAACGGGACAACAAAAATACCCAAAAAACAGAAAATCCTTAGTGCATGCATCTCCCCAGAAAAATGCAATCACAGCACTGTGATGTAAATGTATTCAAGTAATCGCCCATGATTCAAGGATAGTGCATCCCAAAGCCACCCAACTTGCGACCCTTACCACCCAGAGGAAGATCAGAGGGCCAAAAACAGAGAAGAGAGAGCTCAAACTTGGCACGAAGTGAAATCTAACCATCTGACCATAATACCAAGCTGGTCGGCCGGGGGACCAGCTTGGATCATACACAAACTTGGCCGGCCGACCAGCTTGGTATTATGGTCAGATGGTTAGGTTTCATGGCCCCAAACGATACCTGAGCATGGTGAGAATTTCCGCAATGGTGAGAATTTCCGCAACAAGGTACAAGAAAATGGCAACAAGTTTGTCCTCAGCCCCGTGTACACCAGAAAAGCCGAATTAGTTAAAAGTGGGCTTAGTGGGGTACAACAACAACTTTCCCAAACGAAAGGAGAAGCTTCCCTGACTGCGTGTACACGCTGCTGTCTCACGCCAAGTTCTCTACACTATCAGTGTCTCCATCAGCTAGCTCATCATAGATAATCCAAGGACGGCTGGGCAGTCTAATTAAACCACCAGTACTTCCTAAAGTCGTGCCCGTTAACTCTATGTGATTTTAGGAAACGTACGGGCCACTACAGGAGCGCCCAAATTCATCCAACTAGAAACGTTTCTACTCTATTTCCGCGGCTGATAGCTGGGCCAAGTACTGGTGGTTTAACCGGCACACCTCAGCATCGAGCTCTCCTTTCTCGTGCCACCAGCCTATAGGTGCTATGTTTATGTATGGGCATGATTGCAACGGCCAATATAGCCCTGTGAGGCCTAGCCCTTAATCTTCAAGCTTTGTACAGTTACACCATCTGCAGGACATCAACAGCTCTTCCACATGAGCAAACCCTCAGTCAACCCAGCAAACGGCACAGTCTAAGCTTTGCACGACTTCTCCCACCCAGTACCAGTACTCAAGCGGCGACCTGTCCCACCTATTTTCCAACACACAGACTTCACACGTTACCTCAACATGAAATCTTTGCCACAACAACACGTCATCAGCTCCCCTGAAAAAAGCTGCATCCCTATCTCCTATTGACTATTAGTAGAGCATGATAAGCTCATCGATCATGACAACAGTATTTTCCCCCGGTCTCTTTCAGCATTCACTCCCACAGCATTTATTGTATTGAAGAGGTTGCAGGAGATAAGGAGGTTGAAGAGATGGCAAGACGCGAAGAAGTGGGCGTCCGGTCTCCTTCCTGTATTTATTATGGAGTAAATCAACCAAGGGTAGCGTTGCCGAAATGCACATGGAAAAGCACTTGGTCAAGCCGAGCAACAGGAGGCTCGCACCTCCGAGGCCGGCTCGGGAGATAAAAGTCGGAACGAATGAGGGTAATGAACTCGATTATGTAGTGGCTGAACGAGTTAGAGGGATTTGACATTGGTCTTCGCTGGTGCACTTCTTGTTCTACCATTCTTGATTCTTCCTTCTTCCTTTGTCCATTTCTCTTTCCAAGTTCTTGCATTTCACTTGCAATTGAATGTCACTGTCTTTTTTTTTGTTATCGCACTGCAAGATAGCCAGGATCATAACTAATGCATGTATTCTGCTAGTAAAGGACACTTTTCTGAGTCTGCAGTTTGTGAAATCCAAAACTCACTGACAACAAACCTTGCTGTCGCAGATTCCTATTTCCTGGAATTCCTGCATTTTGCTACAAGCGCATACTTTGTATTATGAGTAGAAGAGGACCTGCCGACCAGGTTGATATGTATGGCAGACGACTCAGAAGTACGTGGCATCCAAAGACTCGTTGACAGAGCACATACGAACAGAAAAATGTTTTCTCTCAGTCCAACAAAGGGATGAGGAAAGCATCTGGTAAGTGTTATGATCGATCTCACCACAACCACCACCTCTGAGACAGAGACACACTAAAACAAGGAGGCAGCGTTGCAGCGATGTTTTGCAGCCCCAAACAGTACAGTGTGACATTGTGGGAACCATCCTTAGCAAGGGCAAATGGGTATATAGGCTTCGCATGTACTATCTCGCACTCTTTGACACAGTGAAAGCACGCCAAATCATCGCCGAGAATGTCACAATGGCAATCGGGTTTATAAAACACCATCATCAAATGGGTAAAGGCTTCGCATGTACTATCTCACACTCTTTGACACAGTGAAAGAAT